TATACATAAATGTATATGCATTTGTATATGTGTGAGCACATGTGTGTAAGTCATAGAAGAAATTGTAGTACCATCCGACAGTCTTGATTTAGTTTTAGATATACTGCCAGAATAAACACAAATTATTAGAGTCATAGTATTTGAGATTTTGAAGGGATCATGGAGATTACTTAGTTCAATATTTGCCAAATAGTTTGGAATTTGCCAAATAGTATGTTATCATGTTAATGCTCATTCTGTGGGGGAAACAGAATTCTGTGTTCAAGGTGAGGAAATGGCTGGTTAAATAAAACTGAATAAGTTTCTACTTCAGGAATGCTAAGGGCTTTTAATAAGCTGATGTTCATGGTGGCAGCAGTTTGCATTTCCAAAACTTATTTGATTAAAAAGAACTCTTGCCCTAACCGGTTTGGCTCAGTGGATGGAGCGTCAGCCTGTGGACTCAAGGGTCCCGGGTTCGATTCCGGTCAAGGGCATGTACCTTGGTTGCGGGCACATCCCCAACAGGAGGTGTGCAGGAGGCAGCTGATCGATGTTTCTCTCTCATCGATGTTTCTAACTCTCTATCCCTCTCCCTTCCTCTCTGTAAAAATTCAATAAAATATATATATATATTAAGAACTCTTTCATCCTGTAAAACATCTAATGAAACACTAGTTTCATTTGTCCTTAGAATACAGCATAGAAAAGCTTACGGACAAGAAAAACAAATGTAAGCGGTTTGTTGGCAAAGCGAAGGCATTCCATCTTTTAAAGACTTGGAAAGTGTTAAATTGACTACACTAACAGCAAGCTCCAGGAAGAAAAAAGAGCCCCCGAATATCCAGGGCGCTCTTGGGGATGCCACACGCAACGCACCTGAAATCAAAGAACTGCGCCTCGGCAGGCAGAGGCGGCGGGAGACAGACGGCAGGTGCGTGGGTGCCCCGCGCCGTCACCGCGCCGCCGGCCCCTCCGCGCCCCGGCCCGTCCGCGGCTCCCGAGCGCACCTACAGGGCGTGAGCGGCCGCTCTTCGACGGCGGGCTGGGGAGCGTCCTCCCCGGGGAATGCCCGCTGCTCTGGAGGCTGCGGGCCCGCAACGGCCGGTACTCACCCGTGGCCGGAGCTATCCTTCACCTCCACGCCAGAGGTGCGGGGCTCCCACGACCCCGGCCACACCGCTCTCAGGCCTTCCCCCCCGGGCAGCTGTCGCCCCTGGGGCACCCATCCAGGTGGCGGGTGATCAGAGCTCCCACCGCGCGCGTTACTGTGGAGGCGAGGGCCGAAGTGACAGACGCGGCGCTCCAATGCGAGCCACACAGTCAGGCAGCGTGGGACGGACGTCGCGCACAGATTTCCTGGG